CTTAGGGAATCACAGGAAAGAGAGAGACACAAAAGGATTCTCTGTTCCTCTTCTCCATCTCTGCTGGGGCAGTATCGGTCCCCACAGAGCTCCGTGCAGTCCAGTTTTGGACATCCCAGGAAGCGTGCATCCCGTGGCTGACTAATTCCAAAATCCTGTGGATTGATCCATTGTCGCTGATGGGATTCCTGCTTCTGCACTGGAACTAACTTGCCATTTATCAGACGATTGCAAAACATGGCAGCCTGGCTAACTTCAGTGGTCACTGGGGGTGGGGGACGCCCCATGCCAAACCCATACCCGACCAATGCACTCGACAGCACTTGTTTTTCCAGGCACCAAAGTGGGTGCATTTTGAAATGGACTGGCATCTCCCACTGGGGCCACGTGAGCTGCCGCATAAATTACTTCAGCAGCTGCCCAGTGCTGCTGTCCTGCCTATATTGCTGATTGGTCTAGAGGTCTCAATGGAAGGAAGGGGGGGGTAACGTCAAAAGGGGAGAAGACAACTGCCATGCTCTATTGGCTGGGGATGACAGGGAGCAGGAAACAGAAAGTCCTTTTCAGCCACCAGCCACATTCTCTTCTCTCCACTCCTGCAGTGGCTTCCATTCAGCCAGCCAGCTACAGAGCATCTCACCTACAGGTTGTCTCCTACCTCTTCACAGCTCCTGTAGAGATGCAATCAAGGGAGAGGAATGAAAGGTTAGTCAGTGTGCAAATCCAGAGGCAGTGCAGTCCAGTGGCTAGAGCTGGGAGGCAGGAGCTGAGCAACTGGCCCTGCCAATATTACGTAGCTTCCTTGGGCGTTGTTGGAAAAAAAAAAAGCCACTTGAAACACGGGTGCAGCTTCTGAGTCTGGTTCTGGTGGTGGAAACATCGGGGAGGGGGGAGGAAAAATAAGAGACTGGAAAATGAAATACTCATCCTTTTGCTTATCAGTTTAAGTTAAAGCCCACAAAGGATCCTAATTATTAATCAGGACCGCATAGAGAGTCCAAGGACCTTGTACTGTGCAGGGGAATGCGACTTGCCGTTGCACTGCTAGAAAACAGTCCACCAAGCTGAATCAAGCTTGCAGGTCTCGGTGCTGGGCTTGACCTCTGAATAAATATTAAACTCCTTTTATGAATGTGCATCATTCTCTCAACATGCCCCGGGCATTCCAGTCACCAGGGGCCTGATCCAAAGCCCACTGAACTCAGTGAGACCCACGCATTCATTTCAATGGGGTTTTACCAGGCCCATGGGGAAGAAGGTGATGTTTGACAGTACCACAGGACATTCTCATAAGCAGGCCAGGGAAATGTGGTCTAGATGAAGTTCATGTAAGATGAGTGCACACCTGGTTGAAAGACCGCACTCAGCGCAGTTATCAATGGTTTGCTGTCAAACTGGTAGGCCGTAGCTCGCGGGATCCCACAGTGGTCAGTCCTGGGTCCAGTACTAGTCATCAGTGGAAAAATTGACTTGGATAACGGAGTGGAGAGTATTCTTACAAAATGTGCAGATGACACCCTGATGGGAAGGGCTGCCCGCAGTTTGGAGGGCAGGAGTCGAATTAAAAATGACCTTGACAAATTGGTCTGAATTCTACAACATGAAATTCAATAAAAGACAAGTGCAAAGTACTTCACTTAGGAAGGAAAAATCAAATACACAGCTACAAATGGGAAATAATCAGCTAGGCGGTACTACTACTGAGAAGTATCTGGGGTTATAGTGGATTACCAATTGAGTGAGAGTCACCAGTATGACGCAGCTGCAAAGGCAGCTAACATTCCAAGCCACATTAAAAGAAGCGTTGAACGTATGACATAGGAGGTAATTGTTTTGTCCCGCTCTACTCAGCACTGGTGAGGCCCCAGCTGAAGTACTGTGTCCAGTTCTGGGAACCACACTACAGGAAAGATGGGGACAAATTGGAGAGAATCCAGAGAAGAGCAACAAAAATGATAAAAGGTTTAGAAAAGCCGATCTCTGAGGAAAGGTTAAAAATATTGGGAAAAGAATACCGAGGAAGGACCTGGTAACAGTCTTCAAATATGTTAAGGACTGTTATAAAGAGGATGGTGATCAACTGTTCTCCAAGTCCACTGAAGGCAGGGCAAAAAGTAACGGGCTTCATCTGCAGCAAGAGAGATTTAGGGTTAGATTTTAGGAATAACTTTATAGTAGTTAAACTCTGGAATAGGCTTCCAAGGAGGGGATTCCACAACCTATCACTGGAGGTTTTAAAGACCAGATTGGGCAAACTCATGTCTCAAGGGTGGTCTAGGTTAACTCGGGCCCAGCTCAGCACAAGGGGCTGGACTTGATGACTTCTTGAGTTCCTTCCACCCCTATAGTTCTAGGATTCTAAAAACATTAAAGTCCATGGGGAGGGAGAAGCAGCTATGGAAGAGATTCTTCCCTCACTGCTAGGTGTAAGAGACAGAAAACACTGATGGTAAAAGCAGACCAGGGAGAAAAGCCAAATCAGAAAAGACAAAACATCTTGAAGAAAGAAGGGACTGAGTTTTGCAGTGAACGTGCAAAGCCAGCTGTCAGGCCTCCTGGGTTCTATCCCTAGCTCTGCCCTTTCTGTGCCACCAGTTTCTTCATCTCTAAAAATGGGGATAACCTACCACATGGGAGAGTCATGAGTTACAAACAGGAGTGATTTAAAGGCCTTTGAGATTCTTGGCTGGAGGGAACAGCAGGCAAAGAGTTAATTTAAAGAAGAGCTTTGAAAGAGGAGTCTGAGGGGAGTGGAGCTATACAGGCTCTGAAAGAGAGAATGAAGGTGTAAACCAGACAGATGGAGATCAGGGCTGTGGGAAACTGATCTACTGAACCTCAACACCTCAGTGGTGCAACACCACCGATGCAATGGCGCTAAGGATGTATTTAGCTCAGAACATTTCCATTGTACAGCGTTTGCTTTGCCCAAACATCGTGACTAAGTTTTAATGATGCTTTGGCTGATTTTACGCCTTCCCCCCTCCCATACCTTTGGATGGGGTGGACACAGTGAACTAGTCCCTCACCCCAAAAGCAGCCTCCCCTCCCCCCTATGGAAGTTAGAGATTCCCCCTTATTTTCCTTTCAGTGGGCCATGGAAGCCAATCTAATTCAACACCTCTCTCTTTCTGTGCAGAGGAAGCATCAGCAAGCAGGGAGAGAGGAAGGGGATGTGGGTGGGTAGCCCCCAGCAAGGCCTGGGGCGAGGGGGGGGGGGGGAAAGAGTGATGAGGTGAGGATTTCACCGCCTCTGTAGCTGTTGTCCAAAGCCTGGAAAGATGTTTCCTTTCAGTTCCACCAAAGGAGAAACTGGCTCAAACAAACATTCAGCCACTTGGAAAGGTCCAGACGAGTTACCATGGACACAGCAGAAACATTCCATCAAGCAACTGATGTGATCAAAATGCCGTTAACCTAACAGAGCTTGAAACAGCTACTGGGGCAGGGGGGGGAAGCAGAGGGGGCTGCATTTTTCAGAAAACGGGTTTAAATAAACAGAGAACCCAGGCAGTCAGCGACTCGCTTTATGAGAGATTTCAGATGATCCAGGAGCTTGCTCCGCGCCCCTTCATTATGCCTAGAGTCTGTTTAGAGAGTCACCAGTTGCAAATATTCCCAGGGCTGTCAACTCTTCCCGCTGGATTGGGTTTCAAAAGATTCCTTGTCTTGCAACAGTGGGTTTTGCTTGCATGGTTTCAATGAGCCACAGTTTCAAGTCTCAACCCTCCATCCCCTACCACAGTGACGTGTGGCAGGTTTACCCACACCCCACTGGTTAGCCCAGGCCAACACACACTCCCTCTTCCCCTGCTTCCTCGCATGAGGCTGCAGCTGGGCACCCATGGTTAGCCTGACATGACCCAGGCTACAGCAGGTACAAGGTGTCAGAGGAAATCTCTGCTTGCTCCCTGTCAGTCACATAGGCCCCACCCATTAACTCAGGCACTCTGAAACATTGTGGAAGAAGAAGCTATAGGGTTTGGACAACGACCCTCGTGTG